TGTAGATGCAGGCAGAGCCCTGATACACGTTGCAAATGACAGCATATTTACTAGTGGTGCCAAGTTTCTCTGGAGCAAACTACTATTATGGAACTCTTGGGCACTGTTGTCAGTTCTAAAATATTTTTAAAAGCAACTGCTTGAAGTCATCATGCAATTATATTTACAGTAAATGTGTAAACCTGTGCATCTCCATATCTATGCATGCACATGTTACAGATTATATATGTGTACGTACCTTTATCCCCACACTCAGCATTTCTCAAAATGTGTTTCACTTTGTTATCTCTGCTGAGTCTGACGGGCAAACGTACAGACCTGTGTTAAGGCTTGTAATGCTGGTGGCTCTTTGGCAGCTTCAGATGAACTTTTTTAAGCTTTCAGTACAAATTGGTTCAATTTAGGTCAACAGTGATCAGAGAAATAGCCAAGAGGGCCAATTCCAATGGCAGTGGGGAAGGACTGAGTAAAGTTTACTTTTTGCATTAACGTTATTACATTAATCTGTCCTTCATGGAATCTCATGGACGTGGGCCATGCTCGTCAACAAAGCTCACCACAACACTCAGTGCACAACACTGAGTCTTTTGAAAAGGCAAAGCAAAAAAACACCATTAGACAAACAAACAAAAAAACCCAAATGTTTTGATTTCTTTAGGCATATTGCAAGACAACTTAGAACACTTGTTTTTCCAAATATCTGCTAAATCACTTTAGACAGAAGAAGTCCAGCAATTGAGATACATTAGCAAACAACGCTCAAGTTGAATCTCCCTCTGCTTCTAGACAGAGCACTGACTTTCCGAGTTTCTAAGAGTTTAATTTGGGACAGTTCCATTAAGGCTTTACTTAGTGATTTACTTTTGGAGTAGGCTTTATCCCCAATTACCCCTCATTTACTTGGGCTGCAAAAGGGGAAGAACCAAGTTTTGTTTGGCTTCATGGCCTGCTTCCTCGTTAACTGCTATTACCTGACCCCAAATCCCTTGCAAATAACATCCTGACATTTGGAGTAAAGTTGCACGGATATGCTTAATGGGCAATTCATTATGATAGCTTTTGCCATATAGATTTAAAAAGAGGAGGGAAACTCTACTTCTTTCACCAATTTTTCACCCTTCCTGCTGTATGTAAATAGATTAATGGCAATGTGACAGTCGTGAGTCCTTACAAGTTTTAAGTACTTACAGAAGCCTGTGGTCCCTGCACTGCTGCCAACCATTCCATTTGGACCGGGACTGATGGCATTTTTTTTCCCCTTACCCATTCCCACCTGCTCACAGTCCAGACTGCTTCCAGGAGCAGTGTGTGTGAATGAGCTTGTGACTTGAGAAAAATTTCCTGCTAGAAGGTGCTCCAGCTCTGACAGCAGGAGACAGCACCAAGGAACATCCTTTGGTCGTGGACGAGAATGGGAAAATGACAGCAGGAAATTAATGGCAGAAGAACTCCCCTCATAGCTTGGACTGTGCTGCACCCACAGCATTGGTCACAAAGTGCTCTACAGAAGATGAAGGTTAAGTGGAAATGGGGAGGGTAAAGGAGAAACAAAATGGTTCTGAGAGCAGGGGGAGAACAGATGACTTTGTCTGGAAGAAAAATTTCCTGCTGAGGAGAGGAAAGGAAGAACTGTGCTCAGCCTGCTCCAGTTAGGTGAGCTGTTCTGAGTGTAGAAAGACAGCAAGACAGATCAGAAGGGTCATTTTAGCACACCGTCCTCTTCTTCCTGAGCAATAGAGGAGACAACAATCTGGAAAAGAAGGGTAATTCCAGTAAGCAGCCAAGCTCCCAGGTCTTCTCTGAAATCACAGGAATTTTTGAACCTAGGTTCTACTGAGAAAGCGGATGATCTCACCGATAAGGTTTGGGCAGACCCAGAACCGCCCTGGGAAGAGTTTTGAAATGAACAGGGTGTTGGGCAGGGTGCTCTGAAGGCTCCCGCTGCATTTATGGTGTCCCATCCAAACCCAGCAGGTACCTGTCTTTATGCCTTTGGATCTGGGAGATTTGTTTCACGTTGTGCTGGGATTGTTGCATCCCTAATCCAGACTGACTGTGTTTCTTAGGGAAATTTGTTCAGACTATGCAGATCTTATTTGTACAATAAGGATATTTCTGAATTACTTCACAAGGAAAGCGGGAGGATTAACTGATAATTGTAAGACACTACAGAAGTGCTAAACATTATTAATGGCTCCCAAGTTTTCTTCTTTTGGAAACAGTGGCCATTTCTTCCCATAATGTTTTAAACAGTTGCTGCTCAAGGAGCTTAGATTGCAGATTCCTGGCCTGTGGTTTGTCCATAAATCATAGACCTGGAGCCTGCCCAAGACACTCTCGATAGTCTCAGCAGGAAGTCTGGACGAAAGCAAACTCTTCTCAATCTGGCCCAGTGAACTACTTTATGGGCCGGTCCAGTTTCAAGGTCCTGAGCCAGACGTGAGAGGGATCCTGTCCAAGTTTAAAAGCACGAGGTCTCGGGAATGTCCTTTCAAACTGGATTTCGCTGTCTATAAATATTTTCCATCTTCTGCCCTGGAGGATAGAGGTTTGACTCAGCTGAAGAGACTGGGCAGAGCAGCAGAGGAGGCCACGCTGTTTATCACCAGAAGTCTGTCAGCACATAAAGCTTAACTTGTAGAAAAAAAATACAAGAAGGACCCAATCCACACTCAAAGCCACTTCTGAACAAAACAATGTTAAACTGCTGCCTGTCCAAAGTCCCAGGAGAAATCAAAGAACAAAGTTTTCTGTACGTAGCGGGGTTCGGCACTGTTTACAGCCAGGAACTCAAATAAGCTCCATGAGGTTGTTCCAGTTTGGAGATCCCAAATTCCATCCCATGGGGAAGTCTGGGGAAGCAAATGCAGAAGCATGGGACAACCAGCCTGTGCTGATGGCTTTCGAACACAATTCTAACGTGCTGCACACTCCTGGAACTCATGTTTTGCCTCAACATGCTGGAAAAATTAGGGATCTCTGCTCTCACTTCAGGAAGAGCAAAGGCTGGATGGAAACTGGTTAGCAATACAGTGCTTTGAGGATAACTCCAGACCTAAGTGGAGAAGGTGGCAGCTGGAAAAGCACAGCTCAGCCACCACAAACAGCACTGAAGTTCTGATGCAGGATCCATACAGGCCTTCTCTACTTGCACAGCATGTTTTGGCATCGTGTAGAAAGTGAAAAACCTTACCTGTTGTGTTTGAAACAACTCGTCCTTTACACTGCTCTTTTACCAAAAGCCTCTGCTGCGTTCCGTGCAAAGGCCCTTTCAGAGTCAGTCATCTCCAGACCAGCTTTCGAGCAACCTGCCTGCATTCCTATCAGCACGTCAGTTTGTGTTCATCAACACGATGCCTCTACCTCTCCCTTCTCCACTAGGATCATTGTTAGCCGTGTATAAAAACTTCATACAGCAGCAATTTCTGCAGGTCTTGAGTAAAAGGGAAAGCCGAGACTAAGAGGCGAGAACCTACAGAGGCTTCTGGTGCATAGAAATGTGAAACTTCGACAAAGCACCAGAAAAAGCAGCATGATCAGGTATGTAAGATCTGGGTCAAAGCACCCTCCCCATCCTGCTGCTACCTCTCCTTCCTGCATACAGAGCCCCAGGACTGTCACCACCTTTCAGCACCTTCGATGGGCACGAGCACAAAGGATTAGTTCACACTCCAAAAACAGAAATTTTGTTTGATTGTTTAGTCATAAATCTGTCATGGCGAAAAAATCAGCACCTCAAGGGCTGCTGGGTTTCCCAGAGGACTCCCAGGACTGGAGAGGTTAAAGACATCTCAGATGCTTCACGACCATCTTGGAGTAAGCATCCTCTGCTTCTGACTGCATCAGATTTTGTAAGCTCACATTCAGCTCAGGTGCTCTATCAACAGACACTATTTTTAGCCATCAGTATCAGTGAGTACCAGGTGACCATCCTGCAGGCTGATGCACTCACCTGCAGTATGTTAGCCCGAGAGAACCACAGGTTTTCATTCTTCACTGTTCATGAAACACGCTGCACTGCAAAGGTCTAGCTATGGAGCCACACCGTATCGCTCCTTTCACGTGCCCTACATTCGCATCAGAGCTTTGTACAATACCCAGTATTCTTTCCTGTGTATTTACCCTGATTTTGATGGCAAAGGATCTTAAATCTACTTGGAAGAGAAGATTATTGTCTAGTCTACAAAGCACATAGCTGAACTTCACCTGTGTTGTCTACTTCCAGGAGCAAAGCCTTGTGTGTTTACCTGTGCCACCTTTGCTGCTGGCTTCCAGTCTGGACAATTTAAGGATATTCATTGCATGATTAAGGAACTCCAGCATATCAAAAGGCAAGATGCCATCTAGGTCTTACCAGGAATAGAGGCACGACCTGCAGCCTCTAGCTGAGCAATACAACTATCAGGGATGTAGAAGGTGGCTCCTTGTTCTCAGTGCCCCTTAAACTGTCACATTAATTCCTCTTCTGCATCTGCATAAAAATGGAATTTCAGGCAACGTTAATAAAACACCTAAAATGACACCTCATGCAGCAGACCCTTTTCATTCCTCTTTGCACAGCCAGGCTTTCTTTTGCTTACTGAGCTCATGGTGTTCAGCTGGAGGTTATCCTGTCCAGCACAGCGTCCCAACATTAAACCAAATCCAGTTTCAGAATCTTAATCTGGCAATTTAAGGATAAGGTAAACAAATGTCACAGCTGCCTCATGGCACCAGCTGAGAAAATAAAAGAATTCTTGTAAACCAATTTGCATGGTGTAAACCTGATGCACAGAGGGAAATCTCACATGCTATTTTCTAACAGAATTCAAGGGTGGAGATTCTCCTGTTTTCCTTCCACACTCTGCTACAACCTACTGTTTTCACAGCCCTCTCTACCCACCACTGTCCAGTACCCAGTGCTCTGAAGAACACAGCAGCATCTGACAAGAGAAGAACCATGAAATCACCTTCTGGAAGGCACAAAGACCAACAAAGTAAGAGGAAAAGAGAAGAGTGGAGCGACTTGGAAAAGAGGAATTTATTCATCATAAACACAGGTCAGCAAGACATGCGATTTATCCCAGAGAAGAGACAAGAACCCTGGAGACTTTCCAGAAGGCCGTACACTGGAAAGCTGTGCTCCACACACTGGAATACTGTTTCCCAGTTGCTTTTTCTCTAAAGCGAGACAAGGATGAACTTGACTATTCAGCAGCTCAGTGATCTTTTCTGCCACGGGAACGTACTGACATGTTCCACCAACAGGATCTGCCTGCTAATGGCAGCAATCTATCTCCACGCCACCTAAGTTCTCCTGCCTGGTCAGAAGTCAAAGTTTCTTCACAAATTAATGGATTTTGCCAGGGCTTGTTCAGAGCACAATGGTGCACAAGAAATCGTTCTTCAGTGGATGGGAATATACTCAGAGAGCTAACTGGGACTTCACAGACCTAACTGGGACTCTTGCTGTTTTGGGAAAGGACATTTCTAGAAACAGTGTGAAACAAGGGTCTCTAGGCTTGTGTCAGAAATTTAAGCATATCGTTTCAGCAGCAATCTCTGGATTTTGCTCTCACTAAGAACACTGCACTTTGAACAGGCTGATGACATGATGTAGTAACTACAACTGGCTCCTGCCCAGGCAGTGATGGTTGGAAGTCCCCTGCATCCTCCCTAGCCACCTGCCAGGTGAGCCCCTCACTGAACAGTGCCTGCAAGCAGATGCTGCAATAGCTGACAGAGCAACTGCACTTGAGGAAAGAGATATCAGCACAGAGTTCATCCTTCAGTTTTCCAGGGCTCAGTTTTTCTCCAGGATTTTTGTGAGGAGTTCGTTCAGCCGGCTCACCATTGGTCTGGGATCTTCGTTCAGTCCTGCTGCTATCATGGCATTCTCATAAATCTGAGAAAGAGAAGAACACATTAAATAAGCAGCAGGAGGCAAGGTGAATGAGAGCTGGGGAGGAAATGAATGTCACACTCCAGGAGTTGCATGCTGACAAAAAGCATGTCTTCTATGCAGCCTGGTAGGAAAACACATTGGCCACAAGCAGCAGAAATACACAGAATGGGAAACACAGAATAATGAATCCAGCCTGCTAAAAGGGCTCCACCCTGCTCCCTGCCACACACGGTCTGCAAGCTGGCTCTGGGGAGGATGGTGGTGCCTTTGCAGGCCTGGCTCTCACCTGATCAAGTAACATTTGGGCCAGATCAGGCTGATTGTCCTTCAGCTCGTTAAGTTTCTTAATCAGAGCATGCCTGTAAGAGTAAGAAAGATCCATACTAAGATTTAGCTTTTTTAGATGTATGAGGTTTTTTTTTTCCCTCCAGAATAAGCATCTAAGCCAAGGCGGGACAGAAAATGTTCTAACTAAAGGCCAAGACAGCTCCACCTTTCTTGCTCCTGTTCCAGGGGCTTCCCTCTTCTCTCCCATCCCGACCCTATAACCCCTACAATCCTCAGAGGGCTGGACACAGTGTGGGTGTGTGGCTCATGTCCACCACACTATGCAGCCACACAGATCGAGGCACTGTAGCACACACTACACTTAATGGGGAGAGTTCTGCTAACCTAGGGGCTTTAAGTTGCCTCCTCTCTGCTTCCACCCCAGCAGGAATGCAGTGCTTAGCACTGGTATTGCCACCCCTTACCCTGTGTTGATCTCTAGGGTGGGCTGCAGCAGCTGGGCACGCTCCTCTTGGGTCTTGGCCAGCTGCTGCATGCGAAGGAAGTGTCGGGCAGCCCCCATCTCGAGCACAGTGATCATGGCAGGGTGGGTGTCCAGCCGTGTAGTCACCTGCGGCAAAAACAGCAATCAGTGCTGAGATGGAAACACGCAATTTAGAGGTGGGTGAGGTTAAAGGACTCAGTCTCCTAGCCTCTGCACAACTTGTCCCCACCCCAGAGGAGCTGCCTAAGCAGGCAGGAGAGCTGGGGTCCCAGCTGGCCCTACATAACCTAAAGTAGGGCCTGGTAAAATGGGCTTTGCTCATTACACATTAAGTGGTTCTTCCCATCGCCACAGTGACCACCCAAATGACAAATACCAGCATTCACACCATTTACAGACAGGATGCACAGAAAGTGATTTTTCTCAGAGTCCAAAGTAAAGTCCCGTGGCAGGAGACCTCCAGTCAACCAGTGCCTTCACTTCCTAGGCTATGATCTCCAGTGGATCTTCTGTACTCAGTCACCCAGGCACAGAACACCTACCTTAACATCAGTGACTCGAGAGCCTAAGACATTTCTCATCCAGGCCATCAAATCCCCAGCCTCTCTCTCTGTCAGACGTTCTGCAGCTAGCAGAAGAAAAAGGGCACATCTGATCAGTGGACAGTGAGCTTTACTCCTGATTTCAGTCCATTTCACACTTTCATTTACTTGCTATATTGTGAAAATGGGAATGCAGCACCACTCAGCACACCCTCCGTGCATCCCCTCATCCCAGACCATGACATGCCCGCAGAGGGCAGGCTCTTTCCCTGCCAATGCCTGCCTCCCTCTGTCAGGGCACCAGGTGTGTGTCTGTTTTTAAAGCTCCATGTATGACATACCATCTGCTTAAATTAGCAAATGTCTTAAACTTTGATCTACAGCAGCATGTGCGACGAAAGGGATCTGCAAGAAGTACAAGCTGCCTCCGCCTGTGAGAACTGCAGGATGGAAAGGAGCGCTCTTGCTCATGGACTCAGGAACTGCAAGAGTACTGGAAGAGGCACACGCAGGGCGGCAGGACTGCATGCAGCAGGAAAGGCCAGGGGGACCTCACGATACCTGGGCGACTCTCCTCAAAATTCTCTTCCTTATAGTGATCAACAACAATGTCCGTCTCCACCGAGATCAGCTTCTTCTTGTCAAACTCCCGGAGGTGCAAGAGTGTCAGCTCATCAAATTGCTCATAGCAGAACAGGACCTGTGCCAAAAAAGTAGACGATAACACGTTGTTACCACGGATGGCAGGGCTGCAACTGGACAAGTTCTTCCCCAGCAAGGGAAGCTGGGAACCAGCACTGACTCCAGTCCTGAAAGGGCCACCTGCCTGCAGAAGACTCCTACAACAACGCAGTTACCAGCACTGCACAGCAACTCCTAGGCTCCTGCTCCAGGGTTCAAAGGCAATTAACAGATGTCAGAAGCAGCAGAAACATCTAGATACCTGCACAAGCACTAACCTGCCTGCACAGGGTGCTACACGTCCTTCCTGGCCCCATGCTGCACTAGGCAGTCTGAGTGGAGACAGGGGGATACGAAGATGGGGACTGTCACAGGGCTCAATGCTCTGCTCAACTCCAAGATCTAGCTGAGCCCCGGGCTCTGGTGCAGTGTCCTGAGCACAGCACACTGCTCACCTACCTCCATGTCCTTCTTCTTCATGGCCTCAAAGTACGGGGAGTGCTCGGCCAGGTGCCGGTTGGGTGCACACAGGTAGTAGATGTTTCTGCTCCCTGCCTTCATGCGGGAGGCGTACTCGGTCAGGCTGGTCAGCTGGCCCGCGGGCAAGGCAGATGATTCGTAACGCAGCAGCTTCGCAATGTCCTCCTGAAAGAAACGTGCTCTTGTGAGCTGGAGGCAGGCCACTACAGCTCTACCTGATCACTCCCAGTTCCAGGACCTCTATTTGCAATGGGCAGGCTTGTTTGCAGTTTGTACTTTGCAAAAGGACTCAGAGGATTCCGGGTCCCACCTTTCCTGCTCCAGATATTATGGAATGACCTAGACAGGATGTAGGCCAAGCTCTCCTGGAAGTGGGAATCCAGCCTGAAGACAACAGCAGGGGTAAAGCCCTACTTTATCGCCTGCTGTAGTTCACATTCTATCAGTGAGGGCTGACAACAAGTGTGGGTACAGAGACTCTGCAGTGTCCTGAACCAGAGTGGGGAACAGCACCCAGTCAGAAAACATCAGTTCAGGCAAGGTGCCCTAGAGCATCCAGTAGGTCGTCAGACCCAGAACAAGAGTTAGAGGTATGTAAGATTCAGAGAAGCAGCAATGTGCCCCTCATCCCAGGTCATAGCAGGACTCTTTGCCATCAGCTGCAGTGTATCAGGACTGCTGGTACCTTCACATCCTGCTCTGCTATCGTGACAATCCCCTCTCTCATGAATACTCCATAGTCCTCAAAGAATTTGGCATATTTCTCAGGGTCCTTCTTGCTCTGGTCAATGAAGAACTTTATCAATCTCTTCTGCAAAACATCTCGGAGTTTCCTGCAGCAAGAACAAGCCTTTTTAAAGACAGCTGCTAGACCAAGACAAGTGAACATCTCCCCATGCAGTGTTTCAGTGATGTGTTTGGAAACAAGAGGAAAAAGAAGAAACTCTAGGGCCACTGTCTCCTTTTCCCCAGGGCTCTGCATTTGTTCTTTGTACCTCAGTCAAGAGAAGTCAAGAGCTGGAGAGAGAGCCAGGGCTGCTGTACAAACACAAGGCTGAAGCTCAAATCTTCAATAACTTCAGTGACACTGCAGTACCTAACCAACTGTGCACAGGACACTCACCGCACTCCCACAACTACCCCTAAACACAGGGAGGAAAGCAGCTATAAAAGGGTTACACTGGGAGGGACTCTTTTCTGACTGGCCTCAAAATCCAGTGAAGCGGCAGGGTTATTCTCATGACTACAGTGGAGCTCAAAGCATTTTAGCAGCCGCTGGATGCAAGTTAGCCATTAACCTAACAAGGTAACAGCAGAACCAAAATGCATTAAGAGCCTGCTCTTATCCTTGTGTATCAAGTTCCAGTGGTAGATGTTCAAGAGGCAGGCCCTGAAGCACAGAAATTAAGATCCAGGGGCATTTTATTTTATTTTTTTGAGGAGACTGGCCTGTTGGTGGTCAGCTTCCCTAGGCTTCAGAACCAAATGAAAACCCTGCTGGCTTGCACTCAGCATTTGACAAGTATCTGTGAGAGCATGGCAGAGCTTTGAAGGAAGTCTGGAGGCAACAGTTACAAGACGCTGTTTCAAGGCCTACATGGTGACTCTAGGGTAGGAACCAGCTTCCTAGCACTGCCTTACTGTTCGGTTTTGTTTTCCAAACCACCTGGTGGTGGAGATCAGACACATGAAATAGCGAATCCACTCTTACTGCTATTGACCAGAGGTACCAAAAGGCAGCCTAGGGCACAAATTGCATATGGCCAAGGAGGAAACAGCAAATTGTATGACAGCACACTGATTACACAGCTTGAGATGTGACCAACATGGCTGCGAAACTACACCCAGTGTTCACGTTACAGACCAAAGAAATTCTCAAGCATGGGAACGCTGCAGCTTGCTTACATCCCTGTAACTGATGTACAACCCTCTGCCTACCCCACAATGCCCCCTCCTCAACCAGCAAGAAGCCACACGAGCCTCAGCCTCTTACCTGATAAGGGCACTTTCTTGCAGAAGCTCCCTGCTGAGGTTCAGAGGTATATCCTCGCTGTCCACAACACCTGGAACACAGAGCGACCCTTGACCAGCGATGCATACACAGGAGCCAGGCTCAGGAAGCAGCCCCTCCCCTAGCCCCCCTGGTAGCCACATTCCACAGCCCACTGCTCCTGCTCCCAGCACACACCTCTGAGGAAGCGCAGCCATTTAGGCAGGATGTCGGCAGCCTTGGTTTGGATGAGAATTTTGCGGCTGTAGAGGGCGACGCTGGAACCCAGTTCCCTGCTGATGTCGAACATGGATGGTTTCTGCAGGAACAAGAGACGAAGGCTAACAGCAGCACTGTGCAGGGTGCTCACCCATCAGCTGCACACAGCAATCCAGTTCTGAGTCCAGCAGGAGCTGAAATCTTGGCTGTCTTCCCTAGGGACCTACCTGAGCCTCCTCCAACCCCTCATGGCCCAGTACCCCCAGCATTATCCTGTAGCACCCAACCCACTGCAGAGATGCCACGCTGGATGCTCCTCCTCGCAATTCTGCCTAAGGAGCAGTCCCCTTCTCTCCTCCTCAGAGGAACTGGGCAGATGTCCCACTGCACGTACTTGCTCGGGCACATAGAAGATGCTGCGGATGTTGAGGGGAGCAGTCGGTCTTGTAGTGCAGGACATAGCGGGGCTTGTCGTAAGCCTGAGCTATGAAGCGGTAGAACTCTTCATGCTGCCACTCACCGATGTCCTTGGGGTCCAGCATCCAGAGTGCCTGCGGAGGAGCAGGGAGATGAGTCCCCATCAGCCCTCATCACCTATGGCCTCACAGCACAAAGCTGCTCTTCCAGAGTTGTATTTTTCCCTCCAGGGTGCCTGAGCGAGGAAACGTCATCTTTCAAACAGACACACTCTCCTCTGCACAGCAGGAGGGCAGTGGGGTGTTCACACACTAACAAATTACTGCCACTCAGGTGACCTCTGGTCACCTTCCATGCAGGAACTCTTGTCCTGCAGCACATCTAAGGCAGATTTGTTCAGCCCAAAACAAAAGGGGTTTGGCTAACCTCCGTTACTTGACACGTGTCCCTGGCCAAGAGCATCCCAGACAATTACCACAGCTCAGCTGACTGGCAGTCCTGGTCAAGCATCTCAGGGCTCAGACCAACAAGCAGAAGAAAAGCGAAAGTTTAAGAGTGCCTATTCCAACCCACCTGTCCCCACAATGGGAGTCCCATCCCACTGCAAGGTCTGCTGCCTGCCTGTGAAGCAGGTCCTCTGTTATCTGTTTTCTGCTGATGTATTTTGGAGCATTTCAGGAGTTGCTTCGTGAACCAATTGGCCAGCTGTGCTTCAGCAGCAGTTTCACACATCAACACATGAGTTAGAGTCATGAGCTCCAGACCATGTCTTTCCCTGTGGCCATGCTTTCCACCTGCTGCTGCTCTGAACCCCGCAGGTGCCCAGCGTTCTCTGGAGCACTTAGCCCAGTGCCCACACCACATTTACATTCTCAGTACCTCAACACAAGATTAGCATCTAGCAAAGTTTTGGGAGGTTCTGCCTATTTAACAAACACTGGGACCAATTAACGAACTCTTATTTCCAGCTGGATGAAGACTACTGCACTTAGCACAACTCTTTGCCACTCAAGCCCTAAATACTCAAATATTTAAGTACTTAAGTAATATTTATGTACTAAAACATTTAAGTACATCAAATGACAGGTGTGATCGATCACCCTGGGCAGTGCAGACATCCAGCCCACCCTCAACCTACCAGTCCAAGGGATTCAGGGCTCTGGCAACCCTGCTGTGCTTCTGTATTCCTTCAAGCTGCTTTTGCCTCAGAGCATTGTTACACAAGCAGCTTCCTTACATTTCCAGCACACACAGGTGTCCTGGAGGGTTTGCAGGATCACAGGTAGGATTAGGGACTCAAGTGGGTACTAAGGTGCTTCATAGCAGCTGTTGGTAGGTAAAGTCCTGCTTTCCCAGAGTCTTACTTGTAGCTACAGCTATCACAGGCAGGATGGAAAAGCCTCTAATTCTATGCTGTCAGCTACATGGCAAGCATTCAAGATCTTATCTAGTAAAACCCACAGTAGGGATCTAACTACAGCTCTGTTTACAGTGAACTGATGTTGATGTGTGGAAAAATGGGGAAAAAGATCCCAGATAAAGAAGAGGCTTGAAACAGGAGCACAGTGAGAATAAAGCTGTTGCCATATCCCAATGGAGAAAACACTTTCTGATATAAAGATAAAAGTACACGACTCCATTAAGCACATTTCACCCCTTGCTCTAGTACTGCTCTTCTCTAGGGAGTGTTTGCTATTGATTGTGAGGTAGGAAGACCAAACAGCTGTCTAAATTAAAAAACTAGAAATAGATTTAAGGGAAACAGCTAGAAAGCCTTTGGAGCAGAAATGCTATTATTGTAGGAATCCAAATAAATAACAGCCACTAATAACACCAATTGCAGAACATTAGGTAAATTAACATGATAAAATATTTAAGTACATCCTTGAAAGCTTGCACATTCGGTGCCACTTCCCAGGAAAGAGCAAACACACACACACACACACACTCTGTACCTACTCTCTTAAGTGAGGAAGATTTAACCAACCAGAAAATGAGATGCTGGAGGAAAAACAATTCATAGATTTTTATTTTAAAGATAACTACTTTCACCTAGGAGATCTCCTGCAACTGGGCCAGAACTTCTGACTAAGGTGGATCTGGCTGTATCATTTTCAGTGGTCAGAAAATATCAGTGTTTAAAAAAATGCAATTAAATTAAAATTTTTCATTAAAAAGAAATTAAAAAAATAAGACAGTGAGCTGAGACAAAACAAAACTCAAGTGTCCACCGGCCCTGGCTATCCCACAGCAAAGGGCAAGAAGAACTGCAGCATGAGGTGTCAGCACACTACTGACGTGAGCAAACCCTACACCACTAACACGTCACCTGGCTTAAACAGTTAGAAGTAGCATTAAAAGCACTGAGACAATCATTCTAATTAGGGAAGAATCCAGAAGGTATCTGTAAATAAAAACTGCTTTGTCAACCCGCAGGCATTCCCTCCAACAAACGCCAATAGGCAGTACCAGACATGATTTATGCCAGATTACCTCCTCTTGTTTTAATTAACTTGTCACTAAAGGGTCTGTGATATCCTGGACAATCCTCCCGTGACTGCCAGAGACAGCAGCAGCAGCTTTATTGTGCTCCTGTCTCCGGTGGAAGATTACAATGGTTCATCTCCACCAGCAACCTGCCTGTGGCTCTCCTGCTTACCTGCAACGTGTTAATTCGTCTCCCGTTGAGGTACAGCGGGAAGCTGATGAAGTTGCTGTATTTTGTCACCACCTCTGGAATGGAAAGAGGACATCAAAGAGTCATGTTTGTGAAAACAACAGAGTAAGAATTTCTTCAATAACAGCATGTAACACGTGCCGCAGGAGAGCACGGACACTGTACATTCACCTCCCACTCATGGGGAACCAACAGACTCCGTGCATCCCCTCAGTGGGTAGCAGCATTTCCCTCCTCCGCTCACCCTTGACGCGGTCTTCATTGGCAAATTCCTTGCAGTCTTCTTTGAGGTGTATAATAATCTTAGTCCCAGTTCTGACACCAGAAGCTTCCGCAATCTCAAACATTCCTGAACTAGGATTAGAAACAGAAGCCAAGTCAGCTTGTGCCTCACATACAGCCACGATGAGACATGAAAATATGTAATTAAACTGACAGCATGCACCAAGAGGAAAAGGCAAAAAAATCTCAAATGTTTGAATGCTCTCTGTGCCTTCGAGAAGGCCCCCAGATAACACATCTGTCTTCCTACGATACCCTGAACCCCTCTCTCTACAGACACCAACAGCCTCTGCAGGAAAACTTCAAACAAACTTCAGCTTGCATAGGCCCAACATTCAGCCTCTCCCCTACATTTGACAATTCTGATTTGTGGGCCCACGCTCACACCTCTGCTGGGCAGCAGTACCTGGCTGCAGTGCAAAGCAGCTGTGCCCTGGGGAAGGCAGGGTTCTGGGTGACCTGCTCCTATTCTGCTGCTGAGCGAGTGCCACTGAGAGCACTGACCTAGAGAGAGACAGGCCAGCCTTCAAAGCGTTCAGCAGTACAGACTGCAGTACACGGCAGCTTGTTGGCATCCCAAGACAGGCTGATGTCTCAGTTACAAGTTTTTTTTTCAAGAATTTAAATAACTTGGTAACTAGAATCATAGAAGTACTTCAGTTCTAGGGGATTTTAATGGGATGCAGAGCTTCTCAGCCCCAGGAGCTCCAATTTCAACAGGGTCCAGCACAGCACAGCTTTGCCATCACAGGTGTTTGCAGCTTGGAAGCAAGAAGCAAAGGCTGAGCGCACAGACCCAGCCCACAGAAGACACGTGCCTACAGAGCCACAGCGCTGCACCAGCCCTGCCTACCAGGGGTGCCCTCGAGCAAAAAGCCAAGGAACTAGACCAAAGACAGTAAATTTCTCTCTCTAGTCTGGAGTGCTGCTAAGAGAAATGCCTGCCAGCAGGGAAGGAACAGGAGAGGCAGGTACTGTCTTTGTCCACAACATGCCTGCTCTGACAAAGCAAGTTCGTCTGCGGTTGTTCACCCTGGCACATTTGGCCACGCTTCCTTGCTGTGTATAATCTGAGCAGGATCTAAACCAGTAAGCCCAGTCATGAAAGACCACACAAGCCCTGTCTTGCTCCACTCAGCTTTCAGTTTGTGCCTGATCTGGATGCAGCCCCTGCACATTTCCACCCCTTACCCATCTGAGGACCAGTGGTAGCCCGGGCTCCCCGGCTCTGCCGACTGTGAGAACACCTCCACTTTATCAGCAACCATGAAGGCCGAGTAGAAACCCACTCCAAACTGGCCGATGATTTTACTACTGGCTTCTGCTTGGCTCTGCAGAGCATCTAGAAATGCCTGGGGGAAAAAAGGAGGAGACATAAACCAGCGCACGATCTCTGGGACTGCTGTGGGGCTGCGACCTGTCCTGTGCGCACTGATGCAGCCCTACAGCAGGCACCATGGGCCTGGCCGCTCAGCACCCTCTTCCCACACCTCTGTCAGCACTCAGGAGGGTGACTGAGGACAGGGTTTCTCCCTGAGGACAGGGGTTTCTCCCGACGGGAATATGCCTGTGCAAAAGGGGAGCATCACCCAGGGCAACACTCGCTGCAGGGAGCAGTGAAGGAGAACAACAAGGGCTTGGTCAACAAGGAACAAGCAACCTCAGAGTAGTGACTTGAGAGAAAAAAAGGTAAATATGACAGTTTGCCAGCACGAGGACACAGCTGCTGCCCTCCCGGACACAGTGTGAATGCCAAATGAGCATGTGCCCCTCCGTAATGATGGCCTGGGGAGGAAGGCACTGACTTGTGGGAGCGAGGGCAGGCAGGTGCAGCAGCATTACACACGGGGGCCATTAGTGCTGCTTCGGCACCACCGGCCTCCCTGGCACACAGCAGAGACCATTAAGAGGCAGAAGACTCCACAGGAAGGTTTCACCTTCCAAGAGGGGTGTATTTCACAGCTGGGCTGGGGGCCAAGGGAAGAGACAACGAGAAGTTACTGGGAGAACAAGAGAGACTGTAACTGGAGAAGACTTCCCGAAGGGGAGGAAGGGGTAATGTCACCACTTACCTTTGAGCCCGATCGAGCAATGGTACCAAGGTTAGAAACAAGCTCCTCCTGGGTCATCCCAATACCTGTGTCCTGAAAAAAAAAACAAACAGCAATAGCAGCTGAAATACCAGTAGAGAACTGCTGTAGCAACCAGCACCCAAGCAGCTCCTACCTCTGCCCAGGGCTCTCACCCAGCCGCCGAGCAGTAAATGCAACAGCAGCAGGCTTCCAGCTGGGACTGCACCTGCACAGAGGCAGGACAGCAGGCACAGAAGGGACAGGGCTCTAAGGGGCAGCCACAGCTGTCTTGTGGCTATAAGCCATTAAGAAGTTTAGAAACTCAAGCGTTATATGGAGAGAAAACAGAAATGTGCCAAGACTGGCTGGTGTCTGCACCACTAACACGACACACAGTGTGCCAGTGCTGGGAGGAGATCTCGAGCCAGGTCACAGCCTCCCTGTGTGTGCATGAGGCAGCCTCTGCTCCTCGGCAAGCACAGAGGGGAGCGAGGAGCAAGAGCAGCAGCTCATTTCCAGCCTGCAGGTAGGGAACTGATGCCCTCACCCCAGGAGTCAGAGGCAAAGCAGCAAATCCCTTAAATCTCAGGTAGTGCAGACCCTTGGCTCCACGCCCTGCTTTCGCTGGTCTCCTTCTCCTGCCTGTTCTTTCCCATCCCCTCTCCCCCTCGCGTTGTGCTCCGCAGAACTTGAGCATGAAGCTGTCGGTGTCCAGAGCCACGAGCCTGAGAGCTGGGCACTGCGGTGCCCCTTGGAACAACCTAACCCCAGCTGGAAACACAGCGCCCAGGCCATCCTCAGTGCCCAGCCCAGGCTTCGAAGGCACGGCTTCATCTTCTCCCCAGTTTATACATGAATTCACACTCCTGCGTGCAGAAAAAACAACTCCCTGCTGCTAGTGCATGCCCCTCAGGCAGCAAACCCTGCAGCCCCATCCAGAAAAGGCTGTGGCACAGCTCAGACTAGGCTGCAACTTCAGTCCTTGTCACAACACATTTGCACGACCCCAAGGCAGCACGGAGAGCAAAACCCAGCTAGGAACAGCCTGCATCCTCACACAGGACCCCAACAAAAACCTTTCCCACTCACAGCCAGGGTTCAGACTTGCTCCACGTGCACCTTCCAAAGAAGCCAAGTACAAGCTAGCGGCCTCTGCAATGCGACTTCTGAAAGGAAGGAGCCATTCCTCCTCCCCAAATCCAGCAGTTTCTTCTCTACCTGCCAGAAACATCCTGAGAAGCCACCCTGACAGGTTCTCTGAGCCACTTGGAGAGGCGGCGGCAGCGTGAAAATGATGCATGTGAAAGGTGATCCTTGCTCAGGGGAAGGACTCGGCTCTGCTCACGTACCTGTGCGTGCAGCTGTCAGAGCTGACAGCTCCCTGCGTGTCCCAGAGCGCTGCTGACACGCTCCTGAGTGCTGCTGGTGGCAATTCGGCTGGCTGGAGTCAGCAAAACGAGCTTGAGCAGAACCAACTGCTGCTAGGTGGCTCGGAGGTGGGATGCCACGGAGATTTCTGGCACAGCACGCTTCTACCGCCCATGTGGGGCACTCAGGTGGGCTCATTTACTAGAAAATAAGATGGCATTAGAAATACCTTTACCTATCTTTTGGTCTAGTATTTAACTCCACCTGAATGATCAAACTGTGGCCAACGTGTGAGGTTGCTGAGTGAAGTGCCACGTGGACAAGATGTTTTTCTGCATCCCCACAAGGCACAGCACAGCAACACCTTCCACGTGATTAAATACGGTAAGGCCAGTCACGGGCATCCTGGCTAAGGGGGAAGATGGCAGGTAAAAATCTCAACAGTGGGAGATGAAAAGCCAGGAGAAACAAACAGAGTATGGCAAAATCTCAGGAATCTGACATGGTCCCTTCCCCCAGGGAAGGAAAGGCCAGAAAAAAAAAAAAAAAAAAAAAAGATGTTTTCAGCATCTGGTTCAGGTTTCCTTCGTGCCAGACCCTGCACAGAACTCTTAACTCCTCTGATCCATGCCTATTTATAGCACAGAGTGTCATTCCCAAATTCCAGCATGTTAAAAAAAATATCCCTACCCTGTGAATATATTTGGCTATTGAATTCAGAGCTCCCTGCCAAACGTACTGCAAAATGCTTAAGGACAGTTCCTAGAGACCAGGTCGATGAGGGTGAATTGCAGCGAACAAAGAGAGCCGGGCTGCAAACACTGCCCGACACCGGCAGGGGAAGCAGAAAGCGTGCCCCGAGGTGGCCGACCCCAGGCCCTGCCTCAGCAGGCACCTCCAGGCAGGAAAAACCTGGATGGGAACACCACCGAGACTCCAACTGCTCGTGCAGCACACGCATTCCCTGCAGCTGTCCTTCTCGGCTCCTTTCACCAGACGGTGCCGTGCTGGGGCGCAGCGCTGGGAGCAGAACGGGCCCAATTCTGCACTGCCCGGCCCACGAGCAGCCAGCCTGGGCCCGGCTGACACGGGTGCCTTGGGCAGGAAGCACCCTGTGGTCCCACGGTGATTTATGAGCACTTTCTGTCGGCGATCAGCCAGCCTGGCTGCAAGGACTGCTGTTGCTTCACCACCAGCGCTGCGACTTCACTTCCCCCGCAGAGAGCTTCGAGCCCTCTCTTCATCCTACAGGAAGGTTTCTGCTAGCTGAGAGCAGCCACAGCAGAGCTTTTTGTGAAAGCACGAAGCCAACGGGACGCGGGGCCTCCACAAACAAGGAGAAGTGAGGGATACGTTCAAAGTTCAAAGCACACAACGCCACTCCACAGCTTCGCATAGAAACCAACTGCTGTAACGCGTGACACAGACCCAGGGCACTGACGCTTCGTTAGCTGGAGGCTAATTACAGAAGCCCTTCTGTTGCTCTGCTGAGTTATGATCTACTCACCTGGCCGAATTTCCCTTCTGGGACTTCTCAGGGTGCCCAGTTAACAGCCAGCCCCTGAGCCGTGCAGACCGGAGGAAGGAGCACTGCGGTCACCTTCTGAACTGCACATCTGAACAGAGCAATGCTGCCCCTGAAAACAACAGCAGCTGCACATTTGTTTTCAGCACTCTTTTCTTTTTACATGGAGACCTCCTAGATACAAAGTTGGACCGCACCGGACCTTTGTTCTTTGTCTGCACTTTGCTCCAAGCCTCCTGGTGCGGGTGCTGGAGGCGTGCAGAGCCCACCCTGCGCAGCTCCGGCTGGGTGACCGCCTGGCACGCAGCTCGGGGCTCCCACCACCACACACCTTCTGCTTGCTCAACAGCCCTGAGGAATTCTGTCATCCTCAAAAGACGTAAACGAACACCTTCGGCCCCACTACCCATCTCATCAAATCAATCTTGCATTCTTGTCAGACTTTTTAGTAAATTAGAAACGAACAGCACACAGTTACAGCAACAAATCTAGTTTAAGGTAACAAATCGCTTAGTTTAGCTGGTAAACGGGAACCTAGGTAAAGCATCATTATCTTTGCTCATTACCTGAGTCCAATTTAAGGTATTGCAGAGCCTCGTTACCCAAAACAATCCCTTAACTAAACAGTTTGCTGCCTTTGCCACAGCTGCATCTGAAAGAATGCTTGCAGCTAGATACACGTTAGAGCTACCGTGCCCTTCCCTTTGCTTTGTGGCAAAACAAAGCAAAACATTTCATTGCAAAATCTCGATGGGGCATCAGGGGAACATCGACTACCTTATAAAATAAGGACATGCTGCTTTCGCCAACTACCAAGATAATAAAATCCCCAAATGTCAGATTAACAACCTGTCCCCCCATTATTAAACGCCTTGCTTAAGGAGACTGAAAACCCACACGACCAGGACAAGGGCCCACAGCAGAGCAGCATTCTGGTTCAGAACCCATAATGAACACATCTGCAGCAGCAATGAGGGGAGGAAACAGCACGCTAAAATTCATGCGTTCCAGTAGAAGGTAACCTTGCCTAATACATGGACTAAAGGCAGAGCCTGATGCTTTCTTTCCTTCCAGTACCATCTATTCACATTAGCACATTATCCGCAACAATGCTGGGCATCACCACAGGCGCAGCCTCCACCCATCCAGGTCTCAACGCCTGCTGTTCAAGAAATTACTTCCTTTTATCCACTGTGAATTTCCCGTTTTTAAACGTGACGTGCTCTTATTCTGGCATGAAGAGAAAGAAAACAAAAGATTCTGCGCTTCGTTCTCTAGGCCACAGATTATTTGAGATGCATTTCTATGTCTGACTCCCCGGCATTCTTGTTAAAGATGATGCAACGACTGGAAGCTCAACCAACCCCTGCGATCAGAGCCACATTTCTGTAAGCTTCACTCCACCTGAGGCTTCCCCAGGCACAGAGAGCTTCACCCCACGTTTCTGTCCATGCCAGCACCCTCAAGCCCAAGCGGCAGCAGGATGCTGCAATGCTGCACGCCCTCAGGATGCAGCACGGTGGCACAGGGGGGCTGCCAGGAGGAGACCCAGCACGGAGCAGGGCCAGCTCTCCACCTGCACCACGCTCTGTTGGAGATGTGGGTGCACCTACACTGACCTGCTGAAGTCCAGAAGACACCTCAGGTCCTTATCAGAGCCTCAGGACAGCTCAGTCCTTGCTGCAGACCGTTTATAGCTCAGAAGCCAGGAGAGATCTGCTCACTGATCCAGGGAGCTGTTGCACAGTGCTGTGAGTGCTGTTTGCAGGCATTTGATCTCCTCCCAAACACAGCAAACTTGTTATTTCGAGGCTTTGCAAACACTGCTTTTGGATGATTGCAAGGGTGAGAAGAAAGCCCAGCACAGGGCACTGAGCAGCCCAAACTCTGGCAACAATTACACCGCTACCCCTGTTAAAAGAGGAGGCACGCTCCCTCATCCAGCAGCTCTGTGTGTGCTTCAGACAATTTCTGCTAAACCCTGCAGCCCCCCAGCTCACATGAGCACGGGGACAGGGTTATCAATCAGCAGGTGGAGCACTAGGGCAGGCGTGCAGCCACCCCAGAGCCTGGTGTTGTCACCACGCATGGATCCTGACACCAAGCTCTGTGGTCATGGGGCTTTGGGGTCTGCTCCCACCTCAGACACATCTGTACGGCCTCAGAGCAGACACAACGTTGGCAATGCTTAGGTAGCAGCCCCTGAACAAGGACTCTCAGTTCTCCTGGCAGAGAAGCAAGCAGAGCCGCCGTCACCTCACAGAGATGAACGTGGTCCTTCATGGGAACGGGATCATCCCTCCCCCGGGGATGTGCCTGTCAGAGGCCACCACACACCACAGCCCTGCCACTTCCCAAATGGTGAGGCACAAAGAGCTGCTGCGTGGTTTGGAACGGGAGAGGAGGCAAGATTCAGCGGACCCAGGGGCAGAGAGCAGCCTAAAGATCTGAGAACAAGGACCTAGGGGTCAGCGTGAGAACAGCACCTTTCTGGAAAAAAAACAGGGTGACCACTGCCAGAGGTGACACATGAGGGACCTGCTGATTCTGTTCCAGTGGGTCCTAGTGGGGACAAAACCCGAAACGTTGACTAAAACACATCCATCTCTGCCTCAATCACTGCGGGCAAGGTTTTTTTTCCACCTTTGCAGTCCTGAAAGGTAGGGAGATGTTCTGAGGCTTGCTCAAAGTAATCCTTAAATTCGGTACATTTCTTCAAGAGGTTATAAATAAACCTTTCACTGGAGGTAAGGAGCTTTAGGCACTGTTGAGAAGGCAAACCTATTAACAGAGATTGGAGCAGCGCTGCTCTCTCTCCCTTCTCAGAGCGCAGCACTGCTGCAGTTAGAGGCTCGCTCGTTTAGTCGCATTAGAGATGCACAGGCAACCAGATAGGGGGTTATAAAAAGCTAAATCCCTGAGAGCTCCAGTTGGGTGTGACGTCAAACACACGCTATCTGCGAGGTGGGCAAACAGGTCTCTTAGCCAAAGTGCCACCGCTTCCACAGTCAAGGACAAGAAGGGCAAGGCTGGATGGGGTCAGAAGCTGCGGGAAAAGGGAAAGAAAGAGCAAGGCAGGGGTGATACCCTGCTCGGGGCTAAGCGAGAGCTCATTAAGGAGTCAGTGTCACACAGCAGTCAGAAAAATGCAACCTTCAGGTGTGATAGGAAAAGCAAAGCCTCTGCACTACGACCCGAGGATGTTTGGGCTGATAATCATGTTGCCCACTAATGATCGCCAACTTCCCCATGGCAACTGCAGCCGCTTGTTCTGCAGAGAAACAAGTGTAAAATAACTGAGCAGCCTCTAACATCAAGTGCTTTTGTCCACGTGAAAAATAGCAGACCGTGTGCTTTGCCTGTGCCACATCCCTCCGGGAACTGCTCTAGTCATCCCTCACGTCCTGCTGCTGTCTGCTTCATTCTCAGATCTCCTGAGAACAGGACAAAGTTACACTCTCACAAATGATGTTGGTCCACGAGGAAAGTTTTCAGTTTGCCATCTCTGCATTAATATATTTGCCATAAATGCACCAAGACTGAGCCTCAGCCTTCCATCCTGGACAACGGTCACCAACAAAAGCAATCAAAGTACAGACAGCAGCACCAGCTCCACCTGCCCTCACCACGCTGAGGCCCACAGGTGAACGTGCTTACAGATTCCCCCACTCCTGCTAAGCATTTTGTCACCAGCAGTGAACTAGAAGTGAGCCAGGACTGCAGAAAGGAGGACAGGCAGGTGCCATGGTGCTGCCACAATCCACAGTCCCTCCTGTGCTTTAGGGCAGAGCTTCAGCTGGCCTTGGCCTGCCCTAGAGCAGGAGGACATGGAGATGATCGGCAGCAGGACGCTCTGACCACCAGCCCAGTATCTCCCAGTAACCCAAGTGAGAGAGGTCTGCTGGCTCCCAGGCAACACAGACCTGAGGAGGGAAGAGAATTCCTACACAAAGGTCAGGATGGACCCAGACTCCCAACTTCACCACTGAGAAATATACACACAACCTAGGAGGTGCACTGAAAGGATACTGGGAGAAATGCTTCTGGTAGCTCCTAAAAGGAGAGGGAGGAGCAACGAATTTTCCTGTTAGGGAAGTTTGGGACAGATGAATTGGTAGTTTCTCATCAAATCCTGATCTTACAGCTTCATGACCCAGAGCCCAGCTGAGTACAGAACAATTCTTCAGGCAGGTTTGGGAATCCAAGGGGCTGCACTGCCACTCAGCTCCCACCACTCCTTCACAGGAGTGAGGCCAGTGGTGAGAGCAGCAGGGAGGAACATTCTCCTGTTGCTAAACGGAGGTACCTGGATAGTGATGGTTCCCTTCCACCGTCCGTCTGCAGGTGGATCTCCATCTCTGGCAAGGCTTTCCCTTCTGCCATCAGCCGGTGACGCAGTTTCTCCAGCGCATCGCTGCCGTTGGAGATCAGCTCCCGGATAAATACCTGGGGAAGAGACAACCTGACACTGCAGCCTGGCCTTCTGCACTGCACAGGGCTCTCAGAGCCCAGGAGCTCATTGTCAACCCACAAACTAAATCCCAGCGTGCTACAAGAACTGCCTTTCCCCATTATCTGCCAGGAGAATGGTTTGTCTGAACTCACTAACAAAGCACAGAGCCTCTGAAGCCCACAGAGGAACCTTGGCCATACTTTTCAGATTTTCAAGGTGGCTTAGAAAAGACCATTCAAGAAAGGGTGGGATATGAATAGCACAGGATTTACTGTGAAACAGAGCAGGTATTCTTCCAGCTCAACAGCTGTGAATATAACCCTTGACAGAGACAGGACTTGGCTCGCAGAAGTTCTGCCAGCGCTGGGGCAGGTGGCAGATGCCCTACCTCCTTTTCTGAGTACAAGGAACGGGCAACGATGTCCAGCAGTTTCTTCGTTTCAGCCTGAAACTCATGCTTGGAGGCCGCACCTGGAATCAAACCAGAAACACTTATTTAAGGTACCTCACTGGGGTTGTCATGGGAAATCTGGCAAATCTGCATTCTTACCACAGTACCTCAGCTTCCCAGGAGTGAGAGTGTGAAGTGAGACAGGACACAGGCAGCTGTGGCCTCCAAAGAGATGACAACAAGAGTGCCATTTACACACCTCTATGCTGCAGCACGCTTTGCCAAGCAGATGCTTGGCCTCTGCACCTCCACTCCTTGCATACAAACCTCAAGACAGGCACAGACTGCAGTGCCTGCACGTTGGTCACCACGTCCAGGCTGCGGTCAGGTAGCCAGGAGGGAAAGAAGATTCCCCTTGCTCCTCACGTGTGGCCCCGTGTGATCCCCAGGCACCCTGTGAAGTGCCCCCATGCCATACAGCCTGCCTTCTGTACCCTTCCTTGAGTCCACCTGCACGTGCCCAGCTCTAGGAGCTCTGCAGCCAGCTGGTTTTCCTCAGGCCAAACAACGCTCTGAGCCTTACACAGAAAAAGCCAGACTCAAACGTCTCTGTGGGGCTGGCAGGGCCAGCACATTTACACCTATTTATGCAAGTGGGTGGCTGTGCCCTGGAAGAGAATTTTCCTCAGAAAGACTAAAACGCCACAATACTGCAGCCGAGAGACCATCCTTGGCTTTTTAAAGATAGCATTTCTCCTGCTAGAGGCTTTAGAGAACCCTAAAGCAATACAGGGAGAGCCACAGGTCACACACCCGCCAGGCCTGGCTGGTAAGCACCTACATTCCCTGGGGACAGAGCCTAAGCTGGGGCATGGACAGCAGCAGGAGCAGTGCATCAACCCTACCGGGAGCTTCACAGCCTGGCAGTCACAGCAATACCTGCCAGGAAAGCCACAAGAGCACAGAGTTAAGATGCTATTTCTGTGCTCAAATAACTCATGCAGTTTTGCTTTAAAGCACCTCTCTCTGGAGATGTGCAAGGCAATTCATTCTAATCCAAGTGCTGACAACAGGATTCTCATTAGAGCTTCACAGTCCACAGCAATGTCCTGGGCAGAAGCTGTTTTGGGGACAAAAAGCCTCTTTTCAGGCAAACTCTTGTGCCTGTGAAGCCTCTACACATATGCATGACAGTCAACTGCCTGGCTAACCTCACAGATGCAACTTGTTCCCGCAGTCTTGATGGCCTCATTTCTTATTAAAGGCCATTCTATTTGCAGGCTCCAGTTTGGGGCGGGTGATGGTGCAACGCAGATTGTCTGCGATCTGCTGGCTAGGATGGGACAACCACAACCCACACCTCCTCCAGAAACACCACCCCAGAGGGCTCACCCTCACGGTCAGGGCACAGCTATGCCCAGCCAAGGCTTTGACATTGTCCTGGCTCTGTCTGCAGCTCGAGAGTGCTCCCACGAGACAGCAGTGTCCGTGCCCACCTTTGACGTTCTCTGTGTTGCTGATGATGGTGTGCAGGGGCTCCTCTTCCTTGCTCTCTGCTGTCTGCGTGCTGTATGTCCGGCCAGCAGAAACGCAGGTGGCAGGAACGCTGTGCCGGAGGCTCCAACAACGGAGTATTTCCCTTGGGAGGCATGCTGGGCCTCTTGCTAGAAGATACAATTCAGGACGTTTCAGTAAAAGACACAAGGATCAGACGCAACAGGAGCCCTCTTTAAGGGCCCCTGTTTCAGTAGTCCCGTGGGGAATGACACTGGCCAAGCAAGACTGAAGGTCCCTTGTGACACTTGCCATTCCCCTCTGGGAAGTTGCTGCCCCAGCCTGTCCCCTCTGAATCTGAATTCTAGCCAGAATATGGCAACGTGTGACTTTCACAGTGAATTAACTGGTGAGGAAGAGGCATTCTGCTGCTTCCACTGGTGTTACCTTCTCTGGAAGCTACACTAATGCATCAGGCAGACCCCTCAGCACCAAAATCCTTCTGCTCGCTTTCATCCCACCAGCAGCAACTTTACGAGCTCACTCCCCTACCTCCGAACAGCTCTGGCCAGCCCTGCTAGGCCCCTGTGAGCAGCTCCTCTATGGCAGTAAATACCTGGCTGTCACAGCACAGGGACGGCATCCTCCAGCCAAGCCAGCTCTGGGATAAGCAGCACGTGGAAGACGAGGGAGCCAGGGAATGGCACAAGCCCCATTAAGGGCTGGGATTCCCTTTCACCCTCCTTCCAGCCCTCACCTCATGGTGCCCAGGTGAACTAAGCCTTCTCTCCGTGGGGAGATGAAACTAAAGCCAAACCTGGACACCAAAAGACTATTTACAGTGCTACAGAGCTCGTCCCAAAGCCAGTTGCTCGGTGCTGTGTCTCAGGGGCAGCTCACACAGCCTGGGCCCCAGGGACAGCCCGGGGGGCACAGACCCACCGGTCCTGGGGACAGGGCTGGGGTGGCCTTCCCTGACCTCACAAGGAACGCAGCCGAACTGGGCTGTTGTGGGGGACAGGTGACCAGGAGGGGAGAAAATGGATAAGCAACAAACGTGGCTGGAGGCAGTGACAAGCCCAGGCTTTTCTTAGGACTCATTTTGTGCTCGCAGGCAGGGGAAGGAGGCAAGCTCCGCACCCCAGGGCTGCCAAAGGCATGCCTTCAGGGTGTCACTGCTTTAGACAAAGGGGTACAAAAAAAAACCACCAACAGCAGACAGAACTGGGAGCCACTTGCACGGTGAGTCCTCACAGCACAACCATGAGCATTTTGGACACCGCTGGTTTGGTTTGGCCGCACGCAGCCCTGGGGCACAGCTGGCACGGGGACACTCAGCTCTGCTGGGGACACTCAGCTCTGCTGGGGACACTCAGCTCTGCTCCGCCTGCCCCAGCCTCAGCACAGCCCTGGGCAATGCTGACACCCGGCCCTTCTGGCCCTACCTCACATCCTCCAGCCCGTCTGGGAGGCCTCAGGCTCTGTCCACAGGTAACCGCAGCCCCTGCCCACCCACCGTGGCAGGCACCGGCAGCTCCTGCCCCAGCAGCGGGGGCTCTGCCGCTCCATCCTGGGCTCTCCCTCATGGCAAGAGGGCAGCAAGGCCGCAGAGCCAGCACCGAGGCCACTCCTGGCCCAGAAGTGCCTGCAGTACCCGCAGCCATTCGCATTTTTTATCTATTCATTTTTTGCCTCCCTACCGCTACAGCACAACAAATCAATTATTTTAAAGGCGTTTTTCGATCCGTGCCACGTTTGGCCTCACCCCCCCTAACTAAGGGCCCGTCCCGTGCCAGGCGGAGCCCCGGCCCCATTTCCCACCCGGTTCCGTCCCGTGCCGGGCCTGCAGGCGGGGGGCTCCGGGCAGCCCCGGCCACAAACCGCGCCCCCCCCTCACCGCGGCTACCGAGGAAGCCTCCCGGGACAAGCGGGACAAGCGGCACCCCCGTGCTCCCCTCCCGGCCCCGGGGGCTGCTCCCGGCGGGGCCCCGCTCACCTGCGGCCCCCCGCGGCCCGGCCCCGATCCCGATCCCGGCCCCGGTCCCGGCCGCGGCTCGCAGCAGGGCCCCGAGGCGCCTCCCCCCCCCGCGCCGCCGCCATGCCGCCAGCTCCCGGTGCGGCGCGAGGCGATGGCGTCATGAGGCGGGCGTGACGTCATCCCCGAGGGGAATCTCCCCCCCCCCCCGGCGCGGTGACACCGGGGCTGCGCCCCCCCCCCTCCCGGTACCTGCTGCTGCGGCTCCCGGTGGAGGCCTCTTCGTGCTCAGCCCCGCAGCGCCTGCCCTAAAGGGGCCCGGGGAGGGGGGGGGAGCACCGGGGGTGCCCCTCGGCTGCACGGAACGCGCGGGCGGCCCCTGAGCGCCGCTCCCAGGGGGGCTGGGGGCACGGGGCAGGGCAGCGAGGTTCAGGCCTGAGCGCCGCCTTTCCCTTCGTTTCCTTCGTTTGTTCGCCAGGGTTTGGGCTCAGCCACCGTGAAGATCCTGCTCCAGGCTCCAGCTCCTCTGCGGTGAAGTCCTGTGGTCCTCGGGTGCTGCTCCTCACGGCCAGGGCCACCCCCAGGAAGCACCGGCAGGGCCCTGAAGTAGCAGACGTCCGTCCAGGCTTCAAATACGCTGAGATTCGTACCAACATCCAAAGGAAACCGGACCAACACCTCTCTATGGGGCCGCAGGGGCTGTACTCCAAGCCCGGCCTCTGCTCGCGTTTCTCTTCAGCTTTGCTTCACTTCTCTCCCTAAAATACCCGCTCCTCTGGAACAGTTGCTCCAGCGAGCTGGGATTATCCAGTCTAAACCTACCCCTTGCCATGTGCCTGCAGCATACATCAGGTTGCAGTTAAAACACTCCAGTATTCGCTTCCCACCAGGTCTCTTTTCACTCTTCCCCATGAAGCAGAGCCCAGGTGAGCTGCAGCCCAGCAGCTCTCTGCTCCGTACAAGACCCAGCTTATTGCAATGGGGCAGCCGTGCCAACACTTCTTTAAAATGGATGCTACTTAAAGGTATTAACGAGATCGGGTGCGGTTATCTTAACCTCAGGCATCAGGCTCTGCTGATCCTAGCGGGCACCAGCCAACTGGAAGCATCCTTCAATCCAAGCAGTTTTACCAGCTTTTATTAGAAACACCAGCACATTTCAAGTTTCCTCTTTTTGATCACAAATATAGTATTTTTCCTCTTTTTAAGTACACAGCATGAGACACAGCATCAGGGCTTTCCATCTTTTTTTTTTTTTTTACAGCAATTTCTTTTGGACAAGCTTTGGGTTAGTGTTCACTGACCTCACCCCAGCCCCCAATTTTGACATCTTGAATTGCTGAAGACAGTTGCATGGGCAGATGAATCCAATGGTGGTGCAAAAGGTACAATAGTTAAAGGTTGGCAAGAAAAGTTTAAGCAGAGGCTCTGTAGTTAAGAACGGAGTAGCGCTGCAGCGCAATACTGTTTTGAGGGCACGGGGACAAAAGTTCTCCTTTCAAGAGAGAAACCATGTGCTCTTCTCACCCCATCCTCCCCCAGCCCCGATCCTAAAAACACGAGGCTGGAGGGAGAGCTAACCGAAGGTGAGAAGCCAAGCGGGCCAGGTGCTCCCCCCAGAGCACAAACAGGCCGCCGGGCGTTGCTGCGAATCCCTCGTGAGTTGCATGGAATCGAGAAGCCTCAGGTCTGAGTGACGGCATTTTAGGCTAGTTGTGGTTTTAGCTCACACCTATGCTGGGAAAGTTTCCCTGGATTTTGACTTGGAGAAAGTAATTCAGTGGGAGGAGAAGGGGCAAGTATCCCAGGAAGATGAGGGCATGGTGACAGGATATTAAAGGGAACATGTACATGATTTGTTATTTTTTATTCCACAGAAAACCCTCAAATCTAGACTCAGAGTTAACAGCAGAAAAATAGTGTTAAAGTCAATAGGTTCATATTTTACTGTAGACTAAATAAATTAGCCTAGAATTAACTCAATACTCTCTATTTGCCTTTCATTGGTGATCCTTCTCTAAATTAATGCAGATTTTAAAAAGCAACGGCTATTAATAATTTATTCCAGTTAACCCTTATGGATGAACACCTGTAAGTATTAAATGTATGGGAACCATTCCCCTCTCCTCTCCCTCCCCGAAAAGGAAACAATCACTAAAGGGTGTTGTAAAACAGACATGCTACCTACAATACTCCATGTTTCGTGCCACTCCTACCGATGCCTCTGGCTGCTCTGTGTAATGAGTGAATATTCATAGCCATGTCTTACAAAGAACATGATCAAAAAATATATAAATAAATAAAAACCTTAAACATTCTTACATGGATTTTTAAAGAACAGAATACATGTTAAAAACTTCAGTAATTTATATCAATTTTAAGCAATACTTTATATACAATGGAAAAAAGACATGCATAGTCCAAATACAATGTTGAAAACAGCATTTTCATAACAAAAAACCCAAACACTAAGTGTTAATACCATGTACATGAATTCAAGAAGGACCACCCTTTTTTTCTGTTGCACACAGTTTATTTAACAATATGATATTATAAGTAAGAAATGAGTTTTTTTTTTTTTTACCATTCTATACAGTGATTGAATCTTCTTGGATTTTCTTATTTATAGTAATTATAGCGCTTGCATGATTTACACTAGAATTGCTTTTCCTCATTTCAAGTTTCACATAGAAGAAAGAAAGAAAAGAATGCTTCTTCTCTATTCAAATCAGCACGGTCTAAGAGTGATCATCCCTATTTTCATCTAAAACCAGTTTTATCAGAGAAACAAAGCAACAATTTCTACATCTGCAAGACAAAGATTTTGGCATTGGCCAATGTGTGTTTTTGTGTGCAAGAGTCAATTCCTATCTTTCCAGGGGTAATACTTCAAACGCCTGCAGAGTTCACTATAGAAAAAAAAATCTTCCCGCAACGTGTCAAAGTTACCGGGATACATTATAATGTTGCATTATTTCAGGAAACAGTTTCTGAATATTATTTTTCTTCTTTTAAACGCAAATGTTTAAAGTCTTGAAAATACAAATAAAAAATATGAATATAATGAACTTGTTTTCCCCGTTAAAAAAAAGGTATGAGTCAACAGCAACAAAAAAATAAAAACCAAAAAAACCCACAAAAGAGACCAGATATTTTAACTGCCTGGCTTTAACAAAAAAATATATTCTTTGTATTGTTTTTTTTTTTTTTTTTAAACAGCAATTCATTCTTCCACGTGTAGGAAGCAGCAGTTCCATCTAGGATTCAAAACAACCCAGATGCCTGAATTTTCAGTACAAAATGTCCCAAGAACACGAAAGGAAAAAAAAAGTGATGCTCCCATAATGCTACAAACCCTCCACAAATTTTTCTAACGTGTCCCCGGTGGTATCACCGACCAGAGACAACTCGTTAGACAACGCACTCCTGTTCGGGGTGTTTAGTTGTGGAAGCATTGCACTCTGTTCTGGGTTGCCCAAGTGTCCCTGATCCATGGAGCTAGCCATAGTAACTGCGAGTCCTGGGTGGGGGGAACCAGTCTGGGGAGAGACGTGGTGCGGTGACGGCTGGGGCTGTATCCGCGGTGAAGGGCTGGAATGTGGCGGCTGGGACTGGGGACGGGGAGACTGAACGGGCGCTGGGGACCGCACCTGGTTGCTGAGGGAGGTGGCGATCTGCTGGCCAGGGAGATGAGACGCCTGCGGTTGTCCTGAGAGCATGTGCTGCTGTGGGCTCATGGGGTTGGGCTGGCCCGGGGACCCTATCTGCTGCTTCATCTGCTGCTGCTGCAGGATCCTCTGCTGCAGTGCTTGCTGAATGTTGGGAGTGCCGTCTGCCCCCATGCCGGGCTGGCCCATCTGGTTCAGCTGTCCCATCTGAGCCATCTGTCCCATGGACCCCCCCTGTATGGATATATGCTGCTGCATCCGCTGCTGCTGCATGGCCTGAGGGTAACCTCCCGGTCCTTGAGGCTGCTGGAACTGGCTATGTCCTGCCATCCCTCCTGCCATGCCAGCCCCTCCTTGCTGCTGCTGCTGCTGTTGCTGCTGCTGCTGCAGTAATTGCCTCCTCAGTATCTCTCTGTACTGCGGACTCATGTTTGCCATGCTGGGGTTGTGGCCGGGGTTCATAATGTTTATCGCTTGTCCCTGGGGATTCATAGCTCCAATCCCTTGCTGCTGGGGAGGAACGCTCGGTCTCTGCACTCCCGCTTGCATCGCGTTCATGTTCTGCAATCCTGGTTGAGTGTGCATGCCTGGCTGTTGCATGCCGGTCTGCGGCTGCTGCATCCCAGGCTGGGGCTGTATGCCTGCTTGCGGCTGCATCCCGGGCTGGTTAGCCACGTATTTGGCTGTTCTTTGCTTTATAAAAGCTGCCATAAGCTGAGGGTTGGATTTAAGGATATTAAGAACCTGCTGCTGTTGCTGCGGTGAACTCGGTGATTTCAAGGTCCTCAGTAAGTCCTGAAGTGCATTCGGAGGGATGCTCCGGGGCGGCTGTTGCACGCCTGGCATCCTGGGCCCAGCCACTGCTTGTGGCGTTGCCATTGGCATCACTGGTCTCGCCATTCCTGGCTGCATCGGCTGCTGCTGCGGCATCGGAGGCGACTGCCACTGCCCAGGCTGCATGTTGGACATCACCGGGCCGCTTACGGGGTTGGGCCGGGGTACATTCATGCTGACTTGCTGCATCTGGTTCACTGAACCCACCGTCGGGTTTACTAGTCCCGGGCGACCAGGAGGCAAACCATTGTTGATGTTGTTGACCCTGTAGAGTTGCTGCTGCTGCTGGGCAGCTTCTCTCTCGATCTGCCGAGCTGCTTCCACCGCGGCTGGCGGAGGCTGGGCCGGAGGTGGAGGTGCGGAAACCGGGTTTGTGGGTTTTCCTGCTGAAACAGTAGTGGGGGGCTGAGTTCTCGACACACTGGGGAAGCCAGCCGGTGACATACTTACAGGGGAAGGCTGGGGCTGGGGAGGAGGCTGCGGTGTTTGCGGTGTACTTGGCTGCTGTGTAGGGGTACCAGGCGTTGCTGAGGTAGGAGAAGGCAAACTTTGCTGAGGCACGTTTCGGGTGTTCATGGTAGCCATCCTTCTGCGCATGAGCTGAGCCTGCTGCAGGCGATGCTGGATCTGCTGCTGTCGAAGCTTGTGTTTGATA